GTAAACATTGTAACACAGTGAACATGTATGAGTAGTAAACATTGTAACACAGTGAACATGTATGAGTAGTAAACATTGTAACATAGTGAACATGTATGAGTAGTAAACATTGTAACACAGTGAACATGTATGAGTAGTAAACATTGTAATATAGTGAACATGTATGAGTAGTAAACATTGTAACATGATGAACATGTATTAGTAAACATTGTAACATAATGAACATGTATGAGCAGTAAACATTGTAACATAGTGAACATGTATGAGTAGTAAACATTGTAACATAGTGAACATGTATAGCTTATTTGGAATATACTGCGTGTTATACAACTTTGTTATGTAGTGGTTTTTATTTCATTAGAAATTGTAAATTTATCCAAAAATAACAAGTTTAGAATCAGAAATGCTCAGTTGTTGTCATGCTTTACATTTGAAGAATCTGTGTTTCAGACATTAGGTTTTTATGATGGATGACCAGTATAATGCTACCAGGCTGGAAGGGGTTAAAGAAATACAATACCTATATACAGTTAATTTTATTACTATAGTCATTGATGTTGTTGACTGAGGTTGTGGTGATTGAAAGCCAATCATTGTTATGGATTAATCGTTAATATGATTACCCAGTGCTTAAATTCTAGAAAGAAAATATTGGATTCCTGTTGATGTGTGGGGGTGGGGGAGGATTATTGGGAATGGGGATAGCATAATTACTTAAATGGAATTATTAATTTAAACAAAAGTAATTAGGTAATAATATAGGCCATTAACTATAGGAATGATGTCTTTATTTATTATGAAGCTCTTGTTAAGGTTTTAATAGTTACAATCTGGAAATACTGCATTTAAAACTTCTGTAAACTTGAATTTAATACTTTATGTGAAAGTGAAAAGAATCGGATCTCAGTGTTTGGAAAGTGCAAGATATATTTTAGCTGGGAGGAGAATGAATTTCTAAAACACCATTGTCCCCTGGTGGGACAATAGTAAGCTAACAGACTTAAAATACTAAGATCCAGGTTTCAATTCCCGTGGTGGACACAACAGATAGCCTAACGTGGCTTTGTAAATTTCTTTAGTAATAAATGTTATTTGGTGTTTGATAATGTATAAACTTATCAGTATTCTGACAGGTAACTTTATGAACAGAATATGTTAATCTAGCTGTCTTTAATTATTGCCCTCAACTGAGGAAGAAATGGAGAGAAATAGTTGTCTCAAACGATATTAGTTGTTCTAAAAGAAACTCTAATGTTTAAGTTTGTGTACTTACAAACATCATTGATGAATGTTTGTGTGTGTGTGTCTACAAACATCATTGATGAATGTACTTCTTTCTTTCCGACTGAGTCATTCTCTTTTGTGTATTCATTGATTATTATACTTGTACATGTCAGACTCGGCATTCTGACTTGTGTGGTTGTTGATGAGTAAGCTTGTATCTGTCAAACTGAGTTATTCTGTCTTGTGTATTCATTGATGAGTAAGCTTGTATCTGTCAAATTGAGTTCTTCTGTCTTGTGTATTCATTGATGAGTAAGCTTGTATCTGTCAAACTGAGTTCTTCTGTCTTGTGTATTCATTGATGAGTAAGCTTGTATCTGTCAAACTGAGTTATTCTGTCTTGTGTATTCATTGATGAGTAAGCTTGTATCTGTCAAACTGAGTTATTCTGTCTTGTGTATTCATTGATGAGTAAGCTTGTATCTGTCAAACTGAGTTATTCTGTCTTGTGTATTCATTGATGAGTAAGCTTGTATCTGTCAAACTGAGTTATTCTGTCTTGTATATTCATTGATGACTAAGCGTGTATCTGTCAAACTGAGTTATTCTATCTTGTGTATTCATTGATGAGTAAGCTTGTATCTGTCAAACTGAGTTATTCTATCTTGTGTATTCATTGATGAGTAAGCTTGTATCTGTCAAATTGAGTTCTTCTGACTTGTGTATTCATTGATGAGTAAGCTTGTATCTGTCAAATTGAGCTCATCTCTCTTGTGTATTCATTGATGAGTAAGCTTGTATCTGTCAAACTGAGTTATTCTATCTTGTGTATTCATTGATGAGTAAGCTTGTATCTGTCAAATTGAGTTCTTCTGACTTGTGTATTCATTGATGAGTAAGCTTGTATCTGTCAAATTGAGCTCGTCTCTCTTGTGTATTCATTAATGAGTAAGCTTGTATCTGTCAAATTGAGCTCGTGTCTTGTGTATTCATTAATCAGTAAGCTTGTATCTGTCAAACTGAGTTATTCTGTCTTGTGTATTCATTGATGGGTAAGCTTGTATCTGTCAAATTTAGTTCTGTCTTGTGTATTCATTAATGAGTAAGCTTGTATTTGTCAAATTGAGTTCTTCTGACTTGTGTATTCATTAATGAGTAAGCTTGTATTTGTCAAATTGAATTCTTCTGTCTTGTGTATTCATTAATGAGTAAGCTTGTATCTGTCAAACTGAGTTATTCTGTCTTGTGTATTCATTGATGGGTAAGCTTGTATCTGTCAAATTGAGTTATTCTGTCTTGTGTATTCATTAATGAGTAAGCTTGTATTTGACAGATACAAGCTTACTCATTAATGAATACACAAGACAGAATAACTCAATTTGACAGATACAAGCTTACTCATTAATGAATACACAAGACAGAATAACTCAATTTGACAAATTGAGTTATTCTGGATTGTGTATTAGCTTCAAGAGTATTTTCATTATACTATTTTATTTTGTTTCTTTTAGGGATGTCAAACACTTATAAACTTTAAATTGTTTGTTAACTAATTGTAACTGAAAATCTTGTGGATTTACGAAATATGTTATTTTTACAAACAGATAACACAGAGATCTTGTTCACCTATGAGGTTCTGTGGGAAGCCAGCGACATTAGATGGGCATCGAGATGGGATACTTATTTAGCCATGAGTGATGCCCAGATTCATTGGTTCTCAATCATCAACTCTGTTGTGGTCATCTTCTTTCTGTCTGGTAATATATTTAATCTCTCTGTCAAACATTTTAATTTACAGATATCTTTACCATTTAGTGTGGCTGTGGGTCTTGTTTCCATGTCTGGAGATAGAATTAACATATCAACATCTTATAGTTCAGTATTGTTTGAAAATAAGAACATTTCAGTATCCAAAACTCACTGTACTTCTTTTGTCTCTATTGCTTGTTTTAAACTTATTTAAACTAAGTTTTTCATCAGTGAAAACTTAGCAGATAAAACATAGATGATGATGTAAGAGACGTACCCTGAAGCTGAACATGATGAACCAAATATAACATCCTATAAAATTCAAGTGTTATCTCTTAAAGATATAAATATACTTTTATAGCTACACACACAGGAAAAAAAAAAGTGTTTCTTGTACATAAGACTTTATTGTTCTTAATGAATAGTATCTATCATTTCAACATCGTGTCTTCACTAAAGACATGACAAGTTTTTAGTGGTCACATATTACTCATAATTGTTTTGTACTGTAAAATATACACACATAACAAACATATGTAATCACATAAGTAGTCTGTCATTATCAAAATTACCGATTATTCAGAAACTATCTTTTAGTTGCAGAAAGATCATTTGTTTAAATTTTTTGAACATAAAACTTTTCATTTCAGGAATCCTCACCATGATTATCATCCGAACTTTAAGGAGAGACATTGCTAGGTATAATAAAGATGAAGACATGGTGAGTACCAAACTTGTGTTGTTGTTCATTAGTTATCATTGTTCATGGTATCAACCTTGTGTTATTGTTCACCATGAACAATGATAACTAATATCTACCTTGTGTTATTGTTCATTAGTTATCATTGTTCATGGTATCAAAATTGTGTTATTGTTCATTAGTTATCATTGTTCCTGGTATCAAAATTGTGTTATTGTTTATTAGTTATCATTGTTCATGGTATCAAACTTGTGTTATTGTTCATTAGTTATCATTGTTCATTAGTTATAATTACTTTATTGTTCATGGTGAGTATCAAACTTGCATTATTGTTCATTAATTATCATTGTTCATAGTATCAAACTTGTGTTATTATTCATTAGTTATCACTATTCATGGTGAGTATCAAACTTATGTTGTTCATTAGTTATCATTGTTCATGGTATCAAACTTGTGTTATTGTTTATTAGTTATCACTATTCTTGGTGAGTATCAAACTTGTGTTGTTGTTCATTAGTTATCATTGTTCATTGTGTCAAACATATTATTGTTCATTAGTTATCATTGTTCATGGTATCAAACTTGTGATATTGTTCATTAGTTATCGTTATTCATGGTATCAAACTTGTGATATTGTTCATCAGTTAAGTTTGATACCATGAACAATGTGATATTGTTCATTAGTTATCATTGTTCATGGTATCAAACTTGTGATATTGTTCATTAGTTATCGTTGTTCATGGTATCAAACTTGTGATATTGTTCATTAGTTATCATTGTTCATGGTATCAAACTTGTGGTATTGTTCATTAGTTATCGTTGTTCATGGTATCAAACTTGTGATATTGTTCATTAGTTATCATTGTTCATGGTATCAAACTTGTGATATTGTTCATTAGTTATCATTGTTCATGGTATCAAACTTGTGATATTGTTCATTAGGTATCATTGTTCATGGTATCAAACTTGTGATATTGTTCATTAGTTATCATTGTTCATGGTATCAAACTTGTGATATTGTTCATTAGTTATCATTGTTCATGGTGAGTGTCAAACGTGGGCTAGTTTTCAGTAGTATTGCAATAGAAAAGTAATTATTATTACTTCAGATTTTTCAAGGAACATATTTTACAAAATGACAGAATTAATTATCAGTATTACTTATGTTTAAACTAACAGACTGTAGTAAAATGTAGAAGAATTATTGTTACCGTGATAGCAAAAAGCATTTTTACAGTTTTTGTGCTTTGCTGAAACTGGTGTGTAATATTTTATGAGAATGTGTTTCACTACAGTTGATTTCTAGTAAATTCTTAATAATATACAATTAAAAAAATGAATTGTCTCTCATATAAAACAGTTTGAGTGAAACAACTTTACCACAGGATTATGACATGCCTCTTATATTTTATATCAATGACATAGATGAAGGAACGGTCAATAAATGACAAGTCATGAGTGTTGCTAGCTGGGAAGAGGATGCTGCTGATTTACAAAAGGGTTTAGATCATTTAATGAGTTGGGCAAATAAATGGCAGATGGGTTTTAGTTTTAATAAATGCAAGATAATGCATGAGGGTTATTATAATTTGAATTATAAGTATAATTTGGATGGGAATAACCTTAACAGTGTCATGGAAGAAAGGGATCTTGGTGTAATAGTCAATCAATCTCTAAAGCCATCCAAGCAGTGTGCTGTTGCTAGTGGTAGGGACTAGATTTTATGTTCTAACTACAGAAATATTGAATACAGTTTTAAAGAGGTTATAATTTCATTGTATAGGTCACTGGGTTAGGCCCCCATTTGGATTATTGTATTCAATCTTGGGCTCCTTACCTTAGGAAAGACACTGAATTGTTGAAAGGGTTCAGAGAAGGGTTATTTCAAAACATACCCTCCGCTGCCACTTTAGCTATTCATCAACACTGGTTTGCCTATCTGAACATGCTCCAGTCTTTTATACCCCACTTAAATGCCCTTGGCAATATCTAATTTGCAAATCCCTCCACCCATGTCAATGTGCTCTCTATCTTGACGCTGTCTATAAGCATCTCACCTCTACCTTGACACTGTCTATAAGCACCTCACCTCTATCTTGACACTGTCTATAAGCACCTCACCTCTATTCTCACAGTCTATAAGCACCTCACCTCTATCCTGACAGTCTTTTAGCACCTCACCTCTATCCTGATGCTGTCTATAAGCACCTCCCCTCTATCCTGACGCTGTCTATAAGCACCTCACCTCTATCCTGACGCTGTCTATAAGCACCTCACCTCTATCCTGACACTGTCTATAAGCACCTCACCTCTATCCTGACACTGTCTATAAGCACCTCACCTCTGTCATGACATGTACGATAAGCACTCCTCTGTCCTAGACTACTGTCTATACGCCTACCTCTACTTCTATCCTGAC